AAAGCGAGAAATCACCCCCCAGGGGGGATGGTCTCACCGCAAGCCCTTCTCCATTCTCCTCTCGGGATCTTGGGCATACACGCTCATGCACCCAGCATGAGTTTTAAGCCACCAGGTCCGGGACGCGAACCGCGGTTGACGACGTGGGAGTTCAGTGACATAGCCATTATGCTAACTGCTGGTTCCCGCCTCATAGCTTCTTAACAGGATTTCTGGAACTAAACCCAAGTATCCTGATATCTGATAGGCTATCTCCCTTGAAAAGTGGGAGGGTGTGGGGATAAAGCCATTCCTTTACCTTTTTTGGTTATTAAATCTTCACATCCCTGAATGACTATAGTTTAGCTCAACTTCTTTCAAATATTTACTTGACAGATAATGAAAAGATACTAGCAGACTATGGGACAAGTTTTGTTACAGCATGGAAGAATACTCACAACTACAGGGTATGGAACAGCAACAAGCATCCAGCACTTGCAGAAATAAATCCAAAGTAAGCACATCCTCTAAAAATTAATAGTTCATAAAATGACTGGTTTACCAGATATGTTCAGTAGAAAGAAAAATCTTTTTTTTTTGAGAGATTTTCACTGTAGGGCGCGTACGCTCGCCAGACAGACAGAGAGAGACATAGAGAAGAAAGCGAGAAATCACCCCCCGGGGGGATGGTCACGCCACAATCCCTTCTCCTCCATTCTCCTCTCGGGATCTTGGGCATGCACGCACACGCGCCCGGCGTGAGTTTTAAGCCACCGGGTCCGGGACACGAACCGCAGTTGACTACGTGGGAGTCCAGCGACATAGCCATTACGCTAACTGCTGGTTCCCTTTCTTCTTTTTTTTTTTTTAAGAAAATCTTAACTTCCATATTATGAATATCTTTAAGAATCTCCTTAACTGAGCTGTACAAAGCTCACAAATACGGAAAAATGGCTTAAAGACCACTTTCATGTTCAAACTTCTTATACAAAAGTGCAAGACATTAAGCACTAATGTCTCTCCAGTTCTTAGTGTGGCAGTCCTTCTCTCCCTTTCTTTCCCTTTAATGTAGTGGTCAAACAAATTAGAAGCCTAGACTTACTAGGAGGTTATTTTAAAACATGAAGTAAGTAAAACTGATTAAAGTTTATATTTGAATGCCTAGATTTGTTCCCATATCAGACTGTAAAATTCAACAAAACTTAACAAAAGTTAATACTTGTCCAGATAATGAATGTTGACTGGATGAAGGCTTTATCCTACACAGGCATAAAAGACATGTTGTAGATTGTGTACCATTATGAAATAATAGCGTATGTGAATGCAAGAGAGTAGAGTCTAAGGAGTTCAATGTATGTAGTATGTATATCTTAGGAACTTGTTTTGTAAATCAAAGCATGTTGCATGTGCTTTTGTGTGTGTGTGTTTTAATGATACAAGCATACACTGTTTTCATTGTATTTTAAACTTTTGATTCTTGCTGGGCAGCTAACAAAAGTCAACTTTGTACTAACCACCATGTTATTGAGGGCTAGGATTAACTTTACTTAACTCAGCTGGGGATGTGATTTAAATGTTACTAGAAAGAATACTTACCCCACTGTATATGTGCACACATACATAATCCAGGTATTCAAGCCAGAGCAACATAGACGCATCTATCTGCACAGGTGAAGTGGCACAGAAAGATTTTGAAGAACATGTCTGTTAAGTAAAGCTTACCATCTATCAAGAAAAATAACTAGGTTCAACACCAATTTTGGTGAATTTAATCACCATACTTGGCTATAGCAGAAACCTTTATTATCATAAATGTAGTAAAAATGTAGTGTAGTAAAAGTCAGATCTATCTTAATGGTATTAAATGAAAGTGCTAGGAGCTAAGTACATTCCCTCACTAACTATATACTATTCTGATACAAGCTGAAGGGAAACAGATGGGAGCTGCTCAGTAATGGCACTCCTGGTGCTGGGGCTTAAAAATAGGACAGCGGTTGCTGTTGCACCCAGCACATGGGGCCCTTCCAGTGTCCTACCTTGGGCTTTACACGAGAGGTTTGATTAGGTCTTTCTCCATTGTATCTGATGCCTTTCACTTGAATCATCTCTACAGATCTTAATGCAAGTCTATAAAATATTTAGCTCAAACGAGTTTTAAAAGATTATAAAATAGCGCTTAGAAGAATGTGTAAAGCTGGAACTAGCAGATGGAGTAATGGTTACATCACTGGACTTCCTTGTAGTCGAGTGTGGTTCAAGTCCTGGATCTGGTGGCTTAAAATTCATGTTGGGCGTGTGTGTTTGTGTGTGTGTGTGTGTGTGTGTGTGTGTGTGTGTGCGTGTGCACGCACGTGCGTGCATGTGCACGCATGCCAAAGATCCCAAGAGGAGAATGGAGGAGAAGGGACTGTAGTGTGGCCACCTCCCAGGGTGGTAATTTTCACTTTCTGTCTCTCTGGTGAGTGCACATGCCCTATTGCAGAAATTTCTCTCTGAAAGGAAAAAAAAAGAATGTGGTAAAGCAATTGTTATTTAACTTAAAAAGAAGGCTAAGGGAAGGACCTATTAACTAACGTGTATAGTAAAGAGGGAAGTCATGCCGACATGATGTTCAGATTTTTAACACTTTCACTAAATTAAAAATAAATTAGTCATTGATTGTTATCAGGGTGTATAACTTGAAAACATTCCAAACTAATTGTTGTTTTTTAAATTTGTGAAACCCTTCATCAGCTCCTAAAGGCTAGGGAAGGCAGCAGTCTAACAACGAGCAGGCATATTTCATCCCTTAAATACAGCCAGTCCAGTGACACAGACAATGATTAAATGACCTGTCAATGATTTCAACGAATGATCAATGAATCCAGAAAAAGGAAAAAGTGTTACATATGCTTACTGCAGCCCATGAAGAACAGTTCATTGTTATTTAAAAACTGTCAATAGCTATTAGTAGAGAGCTATAGTCCAAGCCTAATGTTCTAGTATCAAGATCTGGGCTCTATCATGCAGTTATGTTATCCCTAAGAGGTTTGCTAAAATTTTCTTAGCACAACTCTTTGTTTTTTGGTAGCTTTATTGGTGAAATACTCATAGTCTAAACTCAAACTTTGTTTTACAGCCACCCATTTCAAGGCCAGTACTCAGTGTCAGACATGAAGTTAAGATTCTCACAGTGAGTATTTAGAGAAAATACTGAGAAAATTCTTGTCAGAATTTATGCCATGTGTTTCATTGCTGATTGGGGTTATTTTTCTCCACTTGATAGACTGGTGCTTTAGGTAACTACTTATGTGCATAACATTCTTTAGTTCAGCAGTGTGCATGTTTGAAAGTAAAAACACTCTGTTCCATGGAGAACTGTATGAACTAGTAACAGGATTTGCCATTCCTACTTTGGTAAGTACCTTTAGCAAACCATAACTATCACGGACATATATCCTTATGTCTTCACCATTTTTTGGTTTATGTGTATGTCCTTTTTTTTTTTTAGAGAGAGAGATTTTTGCTATAGGTGGCATGTGCTTGTGAGAAAGACAGAGACAGACAGACAGTGAGAAATCACCCCCCGGGGGGGAATAGCCACACCGCAGTCCATTCTCCTCCTTTCTCTTGGGATCTTGGGTACTCACACACACACACCCGGTCTGAGTTTAAGCCACTAGGTCAGGAACTCGAACTGTGGTGGACTAAATGGGAGTCCAGTGACGTAGCTACTACACCATCTGCTGGTCCCAGTTTATCTGTATGTTCTTTTAGTATATTCTGAAAATTAAGGTGGTTAAAAGGTAATAAACTCGCTTATAGCAAACAGTGAATAATTTCTCTTCTTTTTCTAAATTCCAATTGGGGGTATTTATCAAGTAGTTTGTGTATGCATGCATGTGTATATGTGAGATTTTTCTGTTCTTCGGTTTTTATGGGTTTTTTTTAGGATTTTTAAAAATTTGTCCTAAAGTCATCGAAGCAAAAATCATGATAAAACATTCTGCTTTCCTTTACAATTGCCCAACGTGAAAAAAAAAAAAAAAAACTATTTGTAGGAAAAAAATGGTTTTGTACATGGGATAAAACAATATAAATTCAAAATTTACAGATAAGGGTTAGCTCTATCGCTCCTCTCTTTAAAAAGTTTATATGAATATCCAGTCAAACCAACAAGAGTATCTCCCTTGAAACGTTATTTCTATGGCTTTCCAAGTAGACCACAGGACTGCACAATGTCTTGAATGTCCTCAGAAGGCTCTGTCAGTGATCAGGTAACAGAGTAAAAACCCCCGAGTCCTTTCTTTCAAATGGAAGAGTGAAGACAGAGGGACAGAGAAACTATTCAAACTTCGTCTTCTTTCCTTGTGGCTTGTGGTCTCCTCCTCCTCTGCCTTCTTGGAAGCCAGAAAAGGTTTGCTCAGTGAGGAAGTGAAGCCTAATGGTTTCCAAGATGGTGGATAGCTCAAGATGGTAGATAGCTCAAGATGGCTTCCGTATGCAGTGCCCTCCACACAGAAACATCCTGGGAGGGTGAGTTTTAAAATGCAGGCAGTTGAGCATTAAAATTTTAGGTTTGGGGTGGTCTTCCATGGCCTCCTTGGTAGCTTTGGCATCTTCTTGACTGTTGAAATCTACAAAACCAAACCTTTTGGAGGATCCTGTTTCCCGGTCAGTGACTATCCTTGCATGAACAGAACCATCAAAAGACTCCTTTAATGTCTCTTCGGTGGTATCCTCAGACAGACCTTTGACAAACAGAGTTTTGGAGGGCTAACTTCTTGCATTAGGTGATCCCCTGGGTCCTTGCAGCTTCAACCTGATTGCTCTGCCTTCAATTTCCCTTTTATTACGGGAATTTAAAGGTTCTTTAGCGTCTTCAAATGAAGCAAATTCTATAAACGCATACCCTTTAGATTTGCCATTTTGGCTCTGAGGCACTTTGATAAAAGTTGCCTTCTCAAATACTTCCTGAAGCATTTCTTCAGTTGCATTGTAGGAGAGGTTGCTGAAAACCAGAGTTTTTGATTCACCACTCCAAGTGCTATTCTTTCCACATCTATAGTCTTGATTTTGACCTTTCTCTCCAGTGTAGTATAGAGAAATAGACAGGCCATCAATCGCTGTTCCCTGCTTTTCTTCAAAGGTTTTCTCTGCATCAGCTTCTGTCTTAAATTCAATGTAAGCATCCCTTTACTTTTTCCATCTTTGCCGATTAATTCTGATCTCCATGGCATTTTCAAATACTTCTTTTAATTCATCTTGAGTGACTTTGTAGGGGAGATTTTTGGCCAAAAGTGTTCTTGCATCTCAATCTTTCTTATTGTCTTTTCCTTTTGGTTTCTCCAGTTTAATTTAATTGCCAAAGACTTTTAAACCGGTGAGTTCCAAAGCTTTTTCTAGATCTTCAGCAGATTCAAAGTCAACATAGCCAAATTTCCTAGATGTCCCGATTCTGACATCTACGAAAGGAAGATCATTTTTAGCAAAAACATCACTAATACCAGTTTTTAGTTCAGGAATAGACTTGTTATTGTTCAGATTTCCAACAAACAGATGAAAGGATGTAGTTGATTCTGTGGCTTCCACCTTCTGTTTGGTCATTTCCTTCTTTTATTTTCCAGGAACTTCTTTGACAGGCACTTCTTCCTCCTCATGTTCCTCATCATCTTCATCATCATCATTGTCCACATCTTCTTCCTCATCATCCCCATCCTCCTCATCCTCTTCATCTTCTTCTTCAGCCACAGTCTTGGCTTTGACAGGTGCAGCTTTTGTAGGAGCTTTCTTTCCTTTGACTGGTGTGGTCTCCATAACTTCTTCAGATTCATCTTCCTCATCCTCATCTTCTCCCTCCTCATCATCCTCGTCCTCGTCATCATCATCTTCCTCAATGTCATCTTCTTCCTCCTCATCACTGTCTTCCTTCTTGACATTCTTGCCATTCTTTGACCCCTTGGCTGCAGTGGCAGCTCCTTTCTTACCAGGAGTTGCTACTAATGCTTTGCCTGATGTGGCTCCCTTCTTGCCAGTTGTTGTGATTGCTTTGGCGTATGTAACGGTCTTCTTGGATGGTATGGCAGCTGCCTTTTTGCCTGGGGTGACTGCTGCTTTCTTGGCAGGTGTGGCAACCGCAACCTTTTTTGTTGGAGAAATTACCACCTTCTTTGCTGAAGTTGTGGCAGCCTTTTTACCTTTTTTCTGAGGGATGATAACCTCTTCTCCACTGCTATCATCTTCATCTTCTGACGTTTCCTCATATTCACTGTCTTCTTCTACCTCCTTTGGAGGAGGAGCCATTTTTGGGGGGTCACCTTCATTTTTACCAGCCTTAGCGAGCTTCACCATGATGGCAGCTTACAATGGCAGAGTGTGTGGCGGGCGGGTGGCACCGATGAGTCTTGGGGAACTCCAGGGAGGTTGATGGTGGCTGCGAGCACTGAAGATTGCAGAGCACGTATGTTCGGTGGCCAGCTACAGCTGGAGACTCTGAGGTTTTTTAAAATTGTACTTAACACTTCTTCCTTTACTCAGTTCTGTTCAGAATAGTGAACGTGGCAAAAAAATTGGAAACGTCATGGTCACAACCAGCCGGAATGTTGTACAAACAGGAAAAGCTGTTGGTAAGGAATGCCTTTGTCTAAGAACCATTTGCAATCATAACATTTTTTCTGTTCTTAGTATGTGAATGATAACATAAAGTGGTAGCATATATACATATCACATACACAGAGAGGTTTTTTTTTTTTTTTTGGTCGTCTTGGTTAAATGACTACTCATGGGCCACCAGCAGCAGGTGACATTGGTGGTTAAGGCGCGGGATCCCACATGACTGACTCTGTGGTTTGAGTCCTGGACCTTACAGCTTGAACATGCCAGGTGCATGTGCATGTGTGCCCAAAATTCCAAGAGCAGAATGGAGGAGGAAAGATTTGGCATGGTCATCTGATTTCTCACTTTCCCTCTCTCTGTCTCTCCAGTGAATGCATGTACTCTATGGCAAAAATATTAAAAAAAACATAACAAACAAACAAAAAAACTGCTTTGGCACCTGAAAATATCAAAGTTCATCAAATTTTGCCACATCTGATGGAGAATAAATTTTCTGATGAGGTCACAGTTCTTGTTTTCAGAATTTAAGCATCACTGGAGTTTTTTTACCCTATTCCCTGAGCCATTAACAGTTCTTTATAAATAGTAAAGATGCATAATAAAGTAGACATTAGAAGCTGCTATCTTCTAAGGTAGAATCACACAATTTAAAAAAATGAATACAACCTATAGTTGGCTTTTTTGAAAAGATCAGTAATGATGAAACTTTTTAGACTGGCAAGGAGAAAAAGAAGATAGAAATTACCCATTACCAATAGAAATTACCAATATTGGGAAGGAAAGAAAGAGCCTCACTATAAATTGTACAGAAATTGAAGGGACAATAAAGGGAAGATAGTGAACAACTTTATGCCAACAAATTTGACAGCACAGATGAAATATACAGATACTTTGAAAGTCTCAAATTACTAAAACTGATACAGTAAGAAATAGAAAATCTGAATAGCCCTGTGTACTAAAAATGTTAAATTAGAGACCCCTGGCATAAGGGATACTGAGGCAGCGCTCCCTGGGACCCCCAAGCCAGAGACCCCTATCTCTGTCAGCAAGGAAACCCTCAGCTCTGCAGCCACCCCACTTCCTACTTCAGACTCCTGATGTAAGGGATACAGAGGCAGGACTCCCCAACCCAGCTCCAGTCCCGGGGTCCCCAAGCCAGAGACCCTATCTCTGTCAGCAAGGAATGCCCTTAGCTCTGCAGCCACCCCACTTCACACTTCAGACCACTGGTAAAATTGCGTGCCGTGCTAGTGCTCAGTGTGCAACTTTTTCTTTATTTTCCTTATTAATTTTTTCCTACTTATTTGTTCCTCACTTCCTTTATCTACATCATCCCTGGTGGTTTAGATAGGTGTAGAATTACAGTTTTGAAATATTCTCGTATTATAAGACTCTGGAATCCTCCCTTTTACTGAACCACCTGCAAAAAAGGAGATACTTTTCTTTGTACACCTGAAGAGAATATTCCTCCTTAGATCACATTGCTAAACACAAACAGAAGAGAGACTTTGGCAGTCTTCAGTCCACTGCAAAAAGGAAACACACTTCCTCCTATTAGAGGAAACGTTCTCTTAAAAGGTATTCCAAAGGGAACACATCTCCCAGTGCTTAGAAGTAGAAGAAGAACCTCAGGTCTGAATAAAGCAGGAAATATGTCTCCATCAAAAGAACACAGTGACTCCCTTCCATTTCTTGAAAAAAATACAGGAAGTTACCAAAATGTCTGAGAGAGAATTTAGAACATTCATGATAAACAAATACTATGAGCTGGAACAGAAAAGAGACAATGAACTACAGGAGATTAGAAAGTCCTTCCACGATATGAAGGAAGAAATAGAAACACTAAGAAAGAATAAGATGGAAGTATTAGAGGTGAAGTCTGTAATACAGGAAATCAAAAACTCTCTCAAAAGTATTAAAACTTGAGTAGACCATGCTGAAGATCAAATATCTGATGCAGAAGATAAAACTTCTGACCTAGAGAAAACCAGCAATATGCTAGAGGAAATAACAAAAAAAATGAAAATGAGGCTAACATACAAGAAACACTAGATTCCATTAGAAGTCCTAACATCCAAATAATTGTTATCCCAGAAGATGAAGAAATTAATAAGGGCATGGAAAACCTATTTCATACAATCTTAGAAGAAAATTTCCCAAGTGTAGAGAGGCACTCAAGCATCCAGACCCAAGAAATACAAAGGACCCCAAATAGAATCAACCCAAGAAGATCTTCCCCAAGGCATATCATAGCCAGACTGGTTAAGACCACAGATAAAGAAAAGATACCCAAACTGGCAAGAGAGAAACAACAAGGGACTTACAAAGGTCACCCCATCAGGCTAACACTGGACTTCTCAACGGAAACAATGCAAGCAAGGAAAGAATGGGAAGATGTATTGAAAGTGTTAAGAGAGAAACAATTTCAACCAAGATTATTGTATCCTTCTAGATTATCCTTCATATGGGAAAAAAAGATTAAAATCTTCTCAAACAAAACCTGAAAGAATTTGCCAGCACCAGGCCAGCTCTCCAAGAAACCCTGAAGTAAGGACCATTACAGGAAAACTATAGAAGTAACAGCCAGAACAAAGGAGTACAAGGCAACTAAGACAATGACCAACTTTTTTTTTTTTTTGAAGAGGTTTTTGCTGTAGAGCATGTGCTCTTGCCAGACAGACAGAGACAAACAGAGAGATATAAAGTGAGAAATCACCCCCCAGGGAGGATGGCCATGCCTCAATCCGTTCTCCATTCTCTTCTCGGGATCCTGGGCACGCATGCACATGCGCCCGGTGTGAGTTTAAGCGACCGGGTCCGGGACTCAAACCGCGGTCGACTATGTGGGAGTCCAGCAACACAGCGATTATGCTAACTGCTGGTCCCAGACTTAAACATCAGGACAGGTCCAGTAACATCAATAATTATATTGAAAGTTAATGGATTAAATTCCCCAATCAAGAGACACAGACTGGCTGAATGGATTAAAAAACAAAACCCCTCTATCTGTAGCCTATCCAATTCATGGATAAAGACGTACATAGACTGAAAGTAAAGGGGTGGAAAAAGGTTTTCCATGCAAATGGGAACCAAAAAAGAGCTGGAGTTGCAATACTGATTTTTTTTTTTTTGGAGAAGTTTTTATTATAGGGCACATGCACTTGCCAGACAGACAGAGAGACAGAAAGATAGAAAGCGAGAAATCACCCCCAAGGGGGGATAGCCACGCCACAATCCCTTCTCCTCCATTCTCCTCTTGGGATCTTGGGCACGCACGCACATGCGCCAGCGTGAGTTTAAGCCACCAGGTCCAGGGCTTGAACTGTGGTCGACTATGTGGGAGTCCAGTTACATAGCCATTACGCTTTCAGCTGGTCCTGCAATACTAATTTCTGGCAAAATAGGCTTTAAAACAAAAACTGTTCGAAGAGACAAAGAAGGGCACTATATTGTAATAAAAGGGTCAATCGATCAAGAAAATATAATGCTTATTAATATCTATGCCCCTAACAGAGGAGCACCCAAATATGTGAAGGAAAGACTGTTAGATCTAAGAGGGGAGATAGACTGAAGCACACTAATAGTTGGAGACCTCAACACTGCACTATCCTCTCTGGAGAGATCATCTAGACAAAAAATAGGTAAAGAGATAAAGGACCTAAATGATACCATAAATCAAATACACTTAACACATCTATAGAACTTTCCATTCAAAAACCACAAGATACACTTTTTTCTCACCGCTACATGGAACCTTCTCGAAGATTGACCACATCATAGGGAATAAAGCAACCCTCTACAGATTCAAAGGCATAGGAACTATACCCAGCATCTTCTCAGACCATGATGGAATTAAATTGAGTTTAATTTCAAGAGAAATCCTCAAAAATACTCATTTACATGGAAACTAAATAACCTACTCCTGAATGACTCCACTACTACCAAAGAAATAAAGACTGAAATGAAAAGATTTATGGAAGCCAATGACAACGAGGACATGAGTTTCCATAATCTTTGGGACACTGCTAAAGCAGTCATAAGAGGGAAGTTCATAGAATTTAGTGCACATAAGAGGAACATGGAAAGAATGCAAATGAATCACCTAACATCATGCCTCAGAGAATTGGAGAAGCAACAGCAAAAAGATACAAAAAACTCCAGGAGAAAGGAAATATTAAAGATATGAGCAGAAATAAATGGAATAGAACATAAACAAACTATACAGAAAATAAATGAAAGTAAAAGCTGGTTCTTATTGAGAAGAAGAAAGAAAGGAACCAGATGAAACACATCTGCTATGAAGTAGGCAAAATAACAACAGACATAGTAGTACAAAATGTTATTAGAGGATACTATAAACATCTGTATGCCAAGAAACAAGATAATCTGGATGAGATGGACATATTTCTGTGCAAATAGAATCTACCTAGATTGAGCCAGGAGGATATAGAAAGTCTGAATAGATCCATAAAAAGCCAGGAGATTCAATCAGTAATAAATAACCTCCCAACAAAAAAAGCCCAGGCCCTGATAGTTCACCTTTGAATTCTACAAAACTATAGACCAGTATCCCTGATGAATATAAACGCAAAGATTGTCAACAAGATACTAGCAAACCGTATCCAACAACTTGTAAAATAGATTATACATCATGATCAGGTAGGCTTCATTCCAGGAATGCAAGGTTGGTTCAACATATGCAAAACCATAAATGTAATGCACCATTTTAATAGGAAGAAAGATAAAAACCATACGGTCGTATCAATTGATGCAGAAAAAGCATTTGATAAGATACAATATCCCTTCATGATCAAGTATCTCAGCAAAATTGGCATATGAGGGTCATTTCTCAACACAATAAAAGTTATCTATGAAAAACCCATAGCGAACATCATCCTCAGTGGAGAAAAGATGAAAACTTTTCCTCTAAAAATCGGTAGAAGACAAGATTGCCCATTTTCTCCACTCCTTTTCAATATAGTACTGGAAGTCCTGGCCATTGAAATCAGAA